GGTGATGTGGCTTGTTTTCTTTCTTTCTTTTCTTTTTTTTTTGAGACGGAGTTTTGCTCTTGTTTACCCAGGCTGGAGTGCAATGGCACGATCTCGGCTCACTGCAACCTCCACCTCCTGGGTTCAGGCAATTCTCCTGCCTCAGCCTCCCGAGTAGCTGGGATTACAGGCACGTGCCACCATGCCCAACTAATTTTTTGTATTTTTAGTAGAGACGGGGTTTCACCATGTTGACCAGGATGGTCTTGATCTCTTGACCTCGTGATCCACCCGCCTCGGCCTCCCAAAGTGCTGGGATTACAGGCTTGAGCCACCGCGCCTGGCCCGGCTTGTTTTCTTTCACAGATCTAGTCCCCTTTATGAACCCGGCGCACTGGGAGTGTGTGTGTGAGTGGGGACAAACTATTGGTCACTGACATCTCCAACGTCAAGGGAGCTGAAGGGGGTCTGCGGCCTCCTCCCCCTTGACCCGATCTTGGAATAATATCAATTTGATTCTGATGTCATGAGGTAGTCTTATTCCTCACAGCAACTGGGGTGTCATCTCCATTTCACCAAGGGGAAACTGAGGCTCAAAGAGGGCAACTGCCTAGAAGTCACTCAACTAATATGTGACAGACCTGGGTCTACACCTTATTGGTTCCAAAGTGTGGGATTCCCTTAATATTGATGATACTATGCTTTTTGTAATTTTATGATGTTTAACGGTGATTTTGAGGATTGGGCAGGTCTTAACGTCTGAGAATGCAGTGAACACATTCATTACCATCCTGCCTTCAGGCAACCCTGTGACGTGATTTTTGGTTCCATTAGGTGGCAGTGACTGAGAGTGACAAACAGGCACCCCAGGTTCTGCCCTGGTGCCACCTCTAGCACCCACAGATGTGTTGTCTGTTGGCCCAGAAACGAGGAAAAGTGGGCACACACTGTCTTTGGGGAAATGAAAGAAAGCTTTCTTTTTTTTTAAATTTTTCCTAGCAAACACATGAGCCTCTGGAATTGGACACCGAGGTGAGTGTGGGGCCTTCCAGGGTTGAACCCAGGGAGGCAGCTGCCCCTCCAGGCCCAGGGACCTGCATGGCTTTTTAAGATGAAACTGCTTTCCAAGACTAAACCAATTTATTCTGAAAAATCCATAGAAAACTGCCTTTGGGAGAGATTTTTTTTTTTTTTTTTTATTTTGAGATAGGGTCTCACTTTGTCATCCAGGCTGGAGTGCAGTGACGTGAACATGGCTCACTGCAGCCTCGACCTCCAGGGTTTAAATCAGTCCTCCCACCACCTCAGCCCCGGAGTAGTTGGGACTACAGGTGTTCCCCATCATACCCAGCTAATTTTCGTATTTTTTGTAGAGATGGGGTTTCACCATGTTGCCCAGGCCGGTCTTGAACTCTTGAGCTCAAGTGATCAGCCTACCTCAGCCTCCCAAAGTGCCGGGATTATAGGCATGAGCCACCATACCATACCCAGCCTAGACTTTTTTTAAAAGAACTATACACCTTTTTCTTTTTCTCACTAGAAAGGTAATGAACACTCATAAAATGGTTCAAAGAAGATTCCACATCAGGGCCGGTAACAGTGTTCTGGGGTGAGTTCAGGGCTTGTCGAACTGACACGGGACCACTTGCCGGAATGAGGACAGCGCAGATGACTGTGTCCAGGCCACTAACCTCTTTCTGCACCTCTCTGCCCTCCTCCCACACCCCCCGCTTCCAAACCCTCCACTCCCTCCCAACCACCATCCCAAAGCTCTGCTTCTTTTCCCTAAGGAATTTTAGCTTGAATAATGACAAGAGACAGAGGACAAAGAGGGCGGTTTTGTGCAGGAAGCAATTCTCTGTCTCTTGCTCTAGAGATCTGCCAAGCTGTATGCATAGGCATTGCGCCATTTTACCTATATATTTTGGTTCAAAATGAAACGGCATTTTAATGGGCTTCTTGAATCTCTATATTTTAAAATTCTAATTGTGGTAAAATACACATAACAGGAAATGTACCATTTTAACCATTTTAGGTGTACAGTTCAGGGTCATTGAGCACATTCACACTGCCGTGCAACCATCACTGCCATCCTTTCCAGAACGTTCCATCTTCGCAAACTGCACTGTCCCCAGGAAGCAACTCTCCATTCTCCTCCCCACAGCCCTCGTGGCCTCCGTTCTATCTCTGTCCTGATGAGTGTGACTGCTCTAGGTACCTTGCACAGGTGGAAACATATTGTGTTTGTTCTTTGTTGTCTGGCTTATTTTATTTAGCATAAAGTCCTCAAGTTTCATCCATGTTGTAGCATGTGTCAGAATTTCCTTCCTTTCAAAGCTGTATAATATTCCATTGTATATCCAAACCTTTTTTTTTTTTTTTTAGGGGATGGTCTTGCTCTGTGGTCTCTCGCCCACGCTGGAGTGCAGTGGCACAATCATAGCTCACTGCAGCCTTGAATTCCTGGGCTCAAGGAATGCTTCTGCCTCAGTCTTCTGAACAGCTGAGATCACAGGTGAGTGCTACTATGCCTGGCTAATTTGTTTTTATTTCTTTGATTTTTTTGAGACAGAATTTCGTTCTTATCACCCAGGCTGGGTAGAGTGGCGCAATCTTGGCTCACTGCACTCATCACCTCTCGGGTTCAAGCAATTCTCCCTCAGCCTCCTGAGGAGCTGGGATTATAGGTGCCCACCACCATGCCCAGTTTATTTGTGTATTTTTAGTAGAGATAGGGTTTTGCCATGTTGGCCAGGCTGGTCTTGAACTCCTGACCTCAGGAGATCCACCCCCCTCAGCCTCCCAAAGTGCTGGGATTACAGGCGTGAGCCACTGCTCCTGGCCTGCCTGGCTAATTTTTTTTTTTGTAGAGTTGGTGGGGGGGAGGTCTCACTATGTTGTCCAGACTGGTCTCAAACTCCAGGTCTCAAGCCACCCTCCTTTCTCAGCCTCCCAAAGTGTTGAGATTATAGACATGAGCTAGCCAATTGGCCTAAAACTGTTTTATTTTGAAATAAAGGTAAACCATAAAAATCAGTAGGCAAGTGAAAATTTCGGCCAGCCTTCGGATTATTTTTATTTACCAGGAGGCTTGCATTTATGAAGCATCACTGTGGGTTAAGGACTAGGTGAAGCATTTTAAGTTCATTCTCATTTACTCCTTGCAACTTTTTTTCAATTTTTTTTCCAGAGGAGAAAACTCATCTATAAAACCAAAGATGTTAGATTACTTTCCCAAAGTCATGCTGTGGGAGAGGAGAGGTGGATTCAGTCCCTTGTCCTTGACAAGGAGGATTCCACCCCTTGTCCGTTACCCCAGCGACCCACCTGAATCGGGTGTGGAACTCTGTACGGTCTCTGTTACTGGCTCCTGGTAAGGAGACCCCCTTCTAATGGAAGGGACGGTGCAGACGATAAAGCCCATGGAAAGCATCTCTTTCTTTCTTTCTTTCTTTGAGAGTTGCTCTTGCCCAGGCTGGAGTGCAATGGCACGATCTCGGCTCACTGCAACCTCTGCCTCCCGGGTTCAAGAGATTCTTCTGCCTCAGCCTCCTGAGTGAGCTGGGATTACAGGTGTGCGCCACCATGCCCAGCTTATTTTTGTATTTTTAGTAGAGAAGGGGTTTCACCATGTTGGCCAGACTGGTCTCGAACTCCTGACCTCAGATGATCCGGCTGCCTCGGTATCCCAAAGTTCTGGGATAACAGGCGTGAGTCACCGTGTCCAGCCGGAAAGTGTCTCTTTTTACGCTCCGCCAGCCTGGGTTTTACACTCAGCCAGCCTGAGTTTGGTGGCGCCAGCAGCAGGCGCTGTGGTCCCCGGCGTCCCTCCCGGACCTCCCGCCGCGCTTTGCGGAGCGCACTAGTTCCCAAGTGTGCGAGTGTCAGGCACAGCGGCCCAGCCAACCCAGGTTCAGGCTGGGGCCTGCGCCCTTCCCCTCGCCACCTTCCTCTGAGGGAAACGGTCCATATCCGTGTGTTCATCCTTTTATTATTATTATTATTTCTTTAAAGACAGGGTCTCTGTCGCCCAGGCTGGCGTGCAGTGGCGCCATCACGGCTCACTGAAGCCTGGAACTCCCAGGCTCAAGTGATCCTCCCACTCAGCCTTCCAAATAGCTGGGATTACAGGCCTAAGCCGCTGCTCCCGGCAGACGGGGGTCTCCCTATGCTGCCCAGGTTGCACTCGTGCCTTCCTACCGCGCGCGGCCCTTTCATCGACGTGTACGACACTCACGCCCGCTTTCCCAAGGGTCCGGGCCACCCTAGCCCGAAGTGAGCAAGGGACCCACGGGCTGTGGCTTGGGGCTGTTTAACATTTCCACAGACTGCGACTGTCTTCCCCAAACTGTCTATCACGACAGGTGTTTGCACTTGTCTGCAATATGGAACTCCCACCAATTTGTGTTTGGAGGAATTGAGTTTTGGATGCGGAGTTTTGAGAGCCTTCGGAGCCCCCTCGCTGACTGCTTTGTGTTATACTGTGTCCCTGGAAACCATCTCACACCCGGGTTCATAAAGCAGGAATGCTGCAGGTGGGAAATGCATTCCTCATCAAGCACTGAAAATCAGACATATTCCAGACGCATTCCGGTGTTGCCAACAGTGTCACAGAGGCAGATACAGCGGGCCATCATGTAGAATTCCATGCGGGAGAGTTCCCAAGAACCAACTCCAGCCTCCTAAAGGAAAGCTATCTCTTCTGAATCCCCATGGAGCTTTAGAGAATCCTGCTCAAGGGGGGACTTACTGAGACAGGAAGAAAGTGAACTTTTACATTATTTTTTCAGAAGAACACAGTGCAGGCATCAGCCACGCTTGAACCCTCGAAGGACGTGTGTTTTTCCTCCGGCGAAAGCCTGTGAGAGATGGAATAGCCCCTGCAGTGACTTCTTAAGCCGCTTCTGCTAGGAAAAAGCTCCTGCCTCCTTATTGTATCTAAGATAACAAACTCAGTGATTTTGAAAACCTGCTTCCCAAGTCTATCAATGAAAACAATTAACCAACTGCAGAACTAGTGGTTTAAATTTAAGGCCGCTTTTATTATTTTAGAAAATGCTTATTTCCAGTTACAATGTAATCCAGGGAAGACACTGTTATGGCACAAAAATTAAGTTTTAGTAAGAGTTTTGTAAATATATGAGCTAAATGAACATTTACACACCAAACAGCTTTAAATATAGCACTTTCTGGAAACAGTTCGCTGCTTTGAGTGTTCTTAAGTCCCTAACTTGTTTGCCTTGTTATGATGTTCTGTAATGTACAGGGGAAAAAATCTTTTGGGTACTCAGAAACCTTAGAGTGAGTCAACCCAAGATTTGCACTGTAATATAAAATTAGGAAGAAAAATGCCTTCCCTGACCTTAAATGTACAATGTCCACATGTTATATTAAAGGTTATTTAGGATAGCCTCAACTTGTGGGGGCGGTGGGTGGTAAAGGTGGCAGCACTCTATTATTCATCTTTAGAAAATACATTTACTCTCTTAAATCATGCAATACTCTAAGTATTTACTTTGGTGGAGATTCATGAATTGGTGTTACAAATATCAGAAGTTCAAAAAATTAAGAAAAAGGACTTTATTCTTTAATACAAAATAATTAAAGAAAGTGTTAATACTACTTTTTAAAAAGCCTAAATTGCAAGGAGACCTAAACCCTATTGGGGTTTTTTATAAAGTGAATGTTTAAATTATATTCATAGTTATTATTCTAGGTATTCTTGTGTAGGAATTCTATGATATATCAACTTACTTGTCCAGATCAAAGAAATCCAGGATAAATAGTAGGCCAGAGATATGCTGGCCTACTATTTTTCTTTTGTAAATTTAAGGATTTCTTGGTGTAAATTTTATTTAAAAATACAAGAATAAATCAGTAAAACAAAGTTTAAAAAGGAGAAATGAGTGATAATATAAGAAATGGTTTTAGAATTTTATTGAATTTTGGTATTATATAGTGATGTTTAATATTTCATAAAAACAAGGATATAAGAAGCCATTATATACAGTGGCTTAAAAACCATGTATGTAAATGTAATAGGTATAGCATTTCAGTTTTAAAATAGGCTTAGAGATTTTTTAAATTTTTCTATTAAATCAAGAGTAAAATAGTTTCAGTGAAATTTCCAGGCTAGAAAAAAAAAAGGTCTGGAATCTTGCCCACAGAGAGAGGCAATTTCTATTTTTATTGCATGTTTCAATGTCTTAAAAGACTAGTTAAGTAGAGAACAATTCCACACTGCCTGAGAGAGATGGACCCAGCCTTTAGAATCACGGATACCTCAAAGGATGCAGGACATGCTTTTATCACTTAGGTGAGCTGAAATCAGTATGCTAACCTGAAAAAAACAGCACAGGCACTGTTCTATTGCAAAACCGTGATCACTTCTTCATAGATGAGTGATTCTCAAGTAGATGAATCAAATTCTACAGTCCTATCCACTCTAAATAGACCCATTAGACTATGTCAATTGTACTGGCATTTCTATAAACATGTGACTAAATTCAATTTTAAAATGTAAAAACACAATTTGAGTTCTCATGCTCATCTCCAACCCCACTCGAAATCAAATTGTGGGTAAACAAGAAGCTTGTTACTGCTATGAACATTTATTATGGTAGAACTTAAAGAATCAAGTCATCGGCTGGGTGCGGTGGCTCACCTCACCTTTGTGAGCCCAGCACTTTGGGAGGCTGAGGCAGGCAGATCACCTGAGGTCAAGAGTTCGGAACCAGACTGAGCAATATGGAAAAAACCCATCTCTACTAAAAATACAAAATTAGCTGGGTGTGGTGGAGCCTGCCTGTAATCCCAGCTACTCGGGGGGCTGAGGCAGGAGAATTGCTTGAACCGGGAGGCGGAGGCTGCAGTGAGCTGAGATTGTGCCATTGCATTCCAGCCTGGACAACAAGAGTGAAATTCCATCTCAAAAAAAAAACAACTAAGTATTTACATCCACTCTGTGAGCTGTACTTCTGCTCTTGGATGATCACTATTCCATTTTCTAAAATAGCCAAAGCTTTTTATCAGAATGCTTCTCACACTAGGCTCTTCTAGCAGCCTTTATGACTCACAAGAACTAAGTCCTGCTGCCCTAAGCCTATGGCATACACTGCTTGTAATGAGTTAACTTCGGAGAGAAATTATGTGTCTAGAATGGCTCTAGTTATGCACCAGCCTCGAGAGAAGTGAGCGTCATTCACAGTTTTACAAAGGGCTTCTTTTTCTTCCTTTCTTTCTTTCTCTTTCTTTTTTTTCCTTCTGTCCTTCCTTCCTTCCTCCTTTCTTTCTTTTCTTCCTTCTTCCTTCTTTCTCTTTCTCAATCTGGTTGATAAAGTCTTCAAGGATACGTATGGAAAAGTTAGTATTTTTCAAGCCTAGGGGCCCGTCCAGTGAGTCCTACAGCAAGCAGAATGCACTAACGAACTACTTGTGTTTGACTGACATGAAAAACTAGCTGCAGTCAGCAATCTGAGACTTGGAAATCACATTCCTGTCATCAGATTGATAGTGGAGCACCCTTTATGATATAAAACAGAAAGTATGCTTGGAGTGCAGTCCCAAATGCACCATCAAGAAGTTAATTTATACAAATGTATTAAATTGGAAAGCATAGGGTCTTGCTGAATAAGGGTTAATGATACTCAGAAGTTGAAGTTGAAAAGTTTGAGTAGAAACAGGCTCAACATGACCGTCATTCATTTTATAAACAAATGGTGACCAAGATACTGCAGCTGTGTTTGCAGGACAGAAAATTATGCCATCTTCCAGCCATGCCCACACACATAAATAGCTTTCCCTGTCAGGACAGCTCTGGTGTGGAGGGAGAATGGGGCACATGCCCTGCATGAGCACATGTCCTCCCCCAAGGCAGGGATCCTCAGACACTCATATTATTTACACCGTAGAAAGCAAACAGGCTGCCCACAAAGAACGATTAGGAAACTTGAAGTATTTTATTCTGTACCTTAAAGCGTAGATTGTCATAGATTCATCTGTATAAATAATTTTCCTGCGAACAGTAGTTCACTTTTCACTTCCCATTCAAAATCTTTAGAACTTCAAGTATTTGAATGCACTTAAAAATTTCCCCTGCTTTTGTTTTATACAGTACATTCTTAATACAATTAGGTGACTCATGAAGTAGAAGAATTTCTTTTAAAAGAAAGTTCAAAATCTTTACCAGTATGCATTAGGACAAATTAGCACTGTCTTGGTCAGTAATCATTTTAACAGTATGTAAAGAAAGAAAAACACTGTTTCTTTCATTTTTCCTGAAAGAAAAGTGGGAGAAAATAGGCATATCTGTACCATTCAGATCAAAGCACAAAATATCATTTAAAAAATAAATACCTAAGGCATACCTGACACACACTTTTATGTCAATTTCCTCAGCTGTTTAAAAATGGCCCCAGGTGTGGCTGTGTCTCCACCTGCCTTCTGCCAGCAACCTCTGCAGCCCTTGCCCACTGAGCCTGCCTCTGGAGGTAACTGCTCTTTGTCACTTGTCATGAAGCCTGCAGCTTGATATCCTGGGCTTCACATACAATTTCGGAAACTCAAATGACACTACATAGACTTGCTTTAAATCTTTTTTTAGTACAGTTTGGCAAATATCCCAAATGAAATTCAACTCTAAGTTAAAAGTATCAAACAGAGATAGAGCTAAGTGCCTCCATCACTCTCTGGGCTGCCCAGAGGCTCTAGAGGGCACAGGATTAGAAAACCCAAATGCCCCGGAGCTGAAGGGACTGAAGGATACCTGTTGCTTTACCACACAAAAGAACAGTTACCCCAGAGACAGTCCTCGAGATTGGGCTTCTGTGCTGCTGTGAAGATCTTAAAGGCCCACAACACTTGTCCTCCCAAACCCCCAAACTCAGAAAGTGGGCGTCATCCCCACCATAACTCACAGTGCTAAGAAAAGCAAGCAGTGAACACGGAAACCTGATCTCCTCCATCGTCCACCTCCCGGGACTCTGGCCGCTCACTTTCAGGCTCTATCTGCTGGTGGGAACTGCACTTTGGTTTTGGTTTCTAGGAAAAGATCACTACCCAGCTGTCTGGAGACACCTGGGCACTAGATGGCCAAGTCCTCTGGCCTGGCCCGCCCACTGCTGGCCTTGCTGGCCCTACCCGGGTCTCCAAGAAGCAACGGCGGCTGGTGCATCTGGGCCGCGGTGGTCACAGCCTGCTCCTCCTCCTCCTCCGGAGTCCCTGCCAGGGCGCTCCCCTCTAGACTGCTGCCGCTCCCGTCCAGCAGCAGGGGCGCAGCGCCTGCCTCGGCCTCGTGCCCGAGCTGCTGGGAGCTGCTGCTGGTGGGGCTGGGTGCCGCGGGCGTGGACGCCGCCGCCGGGGAGGCCTTGAGCGCCGGGGGCTGCTGCTCGGCCGCCTGGTTGGCCCAGTTCTGCTGAGTCATCAGCAGGTGGTGGTGGCCGTTGTAGAGCTTGGCGGACTGGCCCTTCCCCCGTGCCTCGGTCAAGGCTAGCATTTTGAAGTCCACGGCTGGTGGTGGGGCCCCGGGGTAGCCCACGGCGCGGGCCTGTCCCAGGGGCGCAGCGGTGTGCCCATAGTAGGGTGGGAACCCGATGGCTACGGTGGACGGCCGGGAGCTGGGGGGCAGGGGCGGGGGATCGGCCGTCCCCAGCTGGGTCTCGGAGGTGTCTGGGCCCAGGCGGCTGGTCACACCCTGCTTGAGCTTCTTCCAGCCCAGGTGGTAGATCTCCAGCATGTTGAGCAGCAGGGACGCGCAGGCCACCGCCAGCATGAAGATGATGAAGATGGTCTTCTCCGTGGGCCTGGAGATGAAGCAATCCACCGTGTTGGGGCAGGGCCAGCGGTCACAGCGGTAGAGCGGCTTCAGCTCGAAGCCATACAGAAAGTACTGGCCGGCGATGAAGCCCACCTCGAACAGCGTCTTGAAGATGATGTTGAACACGTAGGTCCGCAGCAGCGCCCCGGACATGCGTACCCTGCCGTGGTCATCCCGCGACCGGGGCTTGTCCTGCGCTGGCTCCTTGGGGCTGGGGCTGTCCCTCTTCAGCTGCTCCTCCTCCTCCCTCTCTTTCTTCTTCTCCTCCATGCGCACGATGTGCAGCACGTGGCCCAGGTAGATGAGGGTGGGCGTGGACACGAAGATGATCTGCAGCGCCCAGAAGCGGATGTGTGAGATGGGGAAGGCCCTGTCATAGCAGACGTTCTCGCAGCCTGGTTGCTGGGTGTTGCAGGTGAAGTCTGCCTGCTCATCACCCCACACGTCCTCCGCCGCGGCCCCCAGCACGAGGATACGGAAGATGAACAGCACCGTCAGCCAGACCTTGCCAATGACCGTGGAGTGCTCCTGTGCATTTTCCAAGAGTCTTCCCAGAAAGCTCCAGTCACCCATTGCTTCAGATTCCTAACCTGTAAGGAAAAAACGCTCATTAACACCAGGCCTGGGATGGGGCTGATGGGCAGCTTCTCCAGAGGACAGGCATTGACGCTCCCCGGGACCTGGCCCAGCAGCCACTACGCAAGTGCAAACGTCCATGAGGAACCACAGGTTAAACTCTTCATTTCAGAGACAAGGAAGCCAGAACCAGGAGAGAAATGTCCCTGCTGGTCTCCAGACTGCCCGAGACCTCTCCCCGAGGCTGATCCCACAGGGGCTCTGGAGGTCTACCACCACTGGGGCCAATTCTGAATCATGGTCTTTCTGTTCAGGTGGGATTACAGCAACCTCTTCCCAAATTAGTGCCATCCCTATGCCCATGCCACCTTCAGAACTTCTGCCATGCTAATCTAATACCTCTTCTGCTTTCTCTATCTTCACATCAACTCTTTACGCTTAAATTTATCTAAACTAGGAAAGTTTACCACTGTCAATGGAAAACTGGCACTAATACCTTCAGTGGATGGTAGCTTTAGGAGTAAATACATTCCAACTCAGCCAGCTTTATTTTGGAAATAAGGAAATAAAGGCTTACTCCCCCTTTTTTAAAAAAAGAATAAATTCCTTGATGACAACGAATTTCATACATTCTATGGAATATTACCCGGCAAAAGCTCTGGGTGTAAGCTTTCTCTTTGCTGCAAAGAGGAAGATGAGGAGTACTGGAAAGGTGTTGAACAGACTAGTTCCAAACCCAGCCCTTCTCCAAGGCCACTATTTGGGTGGAAACAGAATTGATAAGAGAACCACGTGAAATTCAACCGCACCTGATCGAGTACCCACACTGTATAATGGGCAGAGCTGCAGGGGTGGTGGATGGGGGCAGAGGAAGCACCTGGGGTGAACCGAGCTTGAGGATCCTGCCAGGAGGAGAGCCCAGCTCAGCAGAGCCAGACCCGCAGTGGCTGTCATCCAACAGCACTCGAGGGTGCCCAGCACGTCCGGGGGTGGACACAGCATGCCCAGACTCGGTCAGGGTGCATGTGAGTGCATGGGAGATGGCATGGGTCCTCGGTCTTCTGGACCAGAGTGCCTACGGGTGCTGGGCAGGGCTCACCAGCCCCACCTGCCCCCAAGGTGTGACTCCAAAGAAGGCAGCCCATGGGGGTCTGGTGGTCCCAACTGCAGGCCCACCCCTAGGCCCAACTCAGCAAGTGTTGGGTAAACACCCCCAGGCAGGCAGCTTCCTCTCTCTGAGCATGTATACAACAGGGACCAAGGTCATTCACAGGGACGGAGGGAGGTGGGACCGCAGGCCTGCTGAGAAGGCGGCAGTGCGCACAGACACAGGGGATGAAGATGAGAAGGTGTCCCATGTCGCTGCTGCCCCAAGAGGCTGGATGCTGGGAACGTGAACGTAAAGACAGCTAGCTCCATGCTATGCAGTGAGGAAAGTGGCCTCAGCTGTGAGGACACAGTCTCCAGTGGAACCAAAGAAAACACTTGTCATTTTCCATTTTAAAATATTTTAGGCTGGGCACGGTGGCTCATGCCTGTAATCCCAGCACTTTGGGAGGCTGAGGCAGGCGGATCACTTGAGGTCAGCAGTTTGAGAGCAGGCTGGCCCACATGGTGAAACTCCATCTCTGCTAACAATGCATAAATTAGCCAGGCGGTGGAGCGCACCTGTAGTTCCAGCTACTTGGGAGGCTGAGGCAGGAGAATCGCTTGAACCCCAAAGGCGGAGGCTAGAATGAGCCAAGATCACACCACTGTACTCCAGCCTGGGTGACAGAGCAAGACTCCATCTCAAAACAAATTATTTTTAAAATATTAATTTTTGTGAACTTGTTCAAAGGCAAATTAACAAAAAATTCTACTCACTAGCGATCTAAAGAAACAGACAAATGTTAACTGTCCCTTACAAAAAACTCCCATCGTTTTGCTTGGGCCCCAGAGCTCTGAGAAGAAGCTGACCTTTCTTGTGTCCTCCCAGGCTCCCACCTCCTGTTGTGGCTGCCATCTTTTCCTGTGTTCTAAGGAAGTGGGATGATTTACTTTAGAAACTTAATTACTGCACTTGAAACCATCCCGTCTGCCCCATGAAGGATGTCTGGGAACCATTCTGGGTCACTTCCTGCTTCTCCTCCAAGTGCACCTCTGGGCTGGGACCAGGTCCCCTAATGGCATCTCCACCCCTACCCGCCCAGGCATCTCGGGAGACGCTGCACAGAACAGAACCAAGATAGCAGGCAAGACCCACCAGGACCTGGGCCCAGACACGCTGAAGCTGGAAACTCTAACTTTAGGCCTCTGCACATGCTGCTTCTCCAACCTAAAGCCCTGCCCCATCCGGCCACTGCCTGCTGACCTGCCCCTTGCGTCCACCGTCCCCTCAGGAGTGGCCGCTGCAGGCCTACACCAATGCCCCAGGTTCTCTCCCGCCTTGCCATGCCCTAGTTTAATGGCTGTCACCTCCTCCCTCCTCCCCCTACCCCGCCTCTGCTCCAGCAGTTTCCCTCTATTCCCTCCATCCTTTCACAGCCCCACCTGCCAAGCTTCCCTGGGCAAGGGCAGCCTCTGGGCTCTAGAGAACACCTGCCCCCTGTGCCCTTCCCCTAGGCCTGGCTCTGAGGGTGGGGCTGGCACAGGCATCCTCTCCACTCCAGGTCTACAGCCAAACAGCCAGGTCATATGCTTTCTGGAGGCTTCTGAGGAGAGGCCACTGTGGGTAGCTCATGCCCCTTCCAGACACCTTGTGCATGCTCCAGCAGGTCTTGCTAAAAAGCAGTCTACATGAGGTGCTGGGACAGGGGCCTGGCCAGCCCCCCACACAGGGCGGATGGCACGGAACACTGTGAGGGAGGGGTCTGCTGCCCACCACAGACTGGACAGTACTGCTGGTGTTTCCCTGTGGGGCCAGTGGAGGCAAAATGTTCTGCCATGTTTGGGGTGACCTCATAAAAAAGAACTGTCCCACCCCAAATGCCCATCATGCACCTGTTGAGAAACACGAGGCTGAATAACTACTTATTCCATTGGTAAACCAGACCACAGGATGGGGCAACTGATGACAGCGGCTCAGCCTGCTCCAGATCCTATAGGCCCAGGGGTTGCAAAAACTTGAATATATGCCCTTGCAAGAGCCTCATGACCTCTGAGTGCAACCTACAAGAATGATGACCAGCCACCAGCCCGACCCTTGCTTGTGCCCCATCAGGGGCCAAGGCTGTGTCCCAGAGGCAGGACGACAGAGTGTGTCCCAGTCAGGAGCATCCAGCTCTCGGGCACTGTGTGTGGTAGCACATGGGGGATCTGTGTGGATCTTTCTGGAAAAGAATGAGAGACATGAACATAACAATACCTTTGGCCTCTAATTCTACTCCAGGACATCGTACTAAGGAAATAATCAGAGACTTGGATAAATGTGTGCACATGGAGTATTGTGATGTACCTGAAAGGAATGACTGGAAACAAACATCCGGTAGAGGATGAACAGTTACCCGAGCAGTGCTGGCTGGCCGTAGCTGACACCGTGCTCTGGCCAACCCAGCTCCTACTCCCATCCTTCCCTCCCTTGCCTGTCTCTATTGTGACTGGGAAGGGAAATATTTGCTTCTTTGTCTTCCCTTGTGGCTGGAGGTGAATAGAAAAGGCAGTTCTGTCCAGTGAGGTGTAAGATGCCTGCTGGAGAATGTCTGGGAAAGCTTTGGTTTTCTAAGAAAAGGGCAGGTGGTCCTTGTGCTGTTCTTACCCTTTCTTTTCTGTGTAGAGTATAGATGTGATGCTGGAACTGGGCAGCCACTTTGCAAGCATGAGTCAAGAAGCGCAGCAGGGCACCTGCTGTGAACTGTGGAACTGCTGAATTAGCCCCATCAGCCACCTCCAGATTTCTTATGTGAGGGGAAGATCTTATTTGTTCAAATTAGGTTTCCTGTTGCTTGCAAGTGAAAAAGAATCCCTAACTGATACACTATCTTAAATGCTTTATGAAATAAAGCCTGGGAAAATGAAAAGCTATGGTTCATTTATAACTACTAAAATATAAAGTAGCCATTAGATGTAATTTTTCAGAACATTAATGACATGAAAAATGACTGATGCGATAATGATAAGTGACAAGAGCTTAGCACAACACTATAGTCTGAAACCAGCTCTTTTATACACGCTCTTACGTGGACACAGATGAAGGAAGAATGATACTGAAATGTTAACAGTGGTGCTTCTGAGAACGGGTGATTTTCCTTTTCACAGTTCTCTGCATTTTCTCTGACAACATATCACACTGCTCATCATAAAAGATCAATGACCATGGCTTTCATTTTTTGAAGTTGTAGCTTTTGAAAAAACCAGCTGACTCCTTTTTTTTGTTCTTTCATTGTGGTTTCTACTCCTTTCACTGCTTTAATCGTGTCTGTAGTAAGCATACAAATACAATACACTTTGCACGCTTAGCCCCATGTCAGAGGATAACGACTGTGGGATCACCGAGAGTTTAGAGTAGATTCCATCCTCCTGCCTGGCAATCTCCCATGTCAGGCGCAGCGTTTAGAGAAAGCAGTTTCCCCAGCAGACTCCAAGCGAGCCAGGGCCAGGGTACCCGTGTCCCCATCAATCACTCTGAGCTTCACGACTACACTTCACAGTCTGGGTTTTGTTTTGTAAAACACATGCGTGAATAAATGAAAATTTAAGCAGAGGGCAGACAATCTGTCTGGGAGACTGACAATTGGATCCTGTTCAGACCTGCGTGGAAGCCTCCCCAGCAGATATGGGTCCACCCACCTCACTCACTGCCAGATTTGGTTGGCTCTGGGTGATATGCAGAGGCTCTGGAGGCATTTTACCAATTACACGCCCCCAACCTTTTTTTTTTTTTAGAGAAAGAGTCTCACTCTGTCACCCAGGCTAAGGTGTAGTGGAACAATCATAGCTCATTGCAGCCTTCCATTCACTGGGCTCTGTTGATTCTCCCACCTCAGCCTACAAGTAGCTGGGATTACAGGTGTGCACCACCATGCCTATTTTAATT